ATAGTCTCCCAAAATTGGCCAAGGAAGAGATAGAAAACTTGAACAGACCAATAACACAGAAGAAATTGAAGATGTAATAAAGACTCTCCCAGCAAACAAAAGCCCTGGCCCGGATGGCTTCATGGGGGAGTTTTATCGAACATTCAAAAAAGAACTAACACCCATTCTCCTCAAACTATTTCAAAAAATTCAAGAAGAAGGAAGACTTCCAAACTTGTTTTATGAAGCCAGCATAATTCTAATTCCAAAACCAGAAAAAGACACTACAAAGAAAGAAAACTATAGGCCAATATCCCTGATGAACATAGACGCCAAAATCCTGAACAAAATACTAGCAAATTGGATCCAGCAATACACCAAAAAAAATTATTCACCATGACCCAAGTGGGATTCATCCCAGGGATGCAAGGCTGGTACAATATTCGCAAATCAATAAACGTGATACACCACATAAGTAAAATGAAGAATAAAAAACACATGATCATATCAATAGATGCTGAAAAAGCCTTTGACAAAATCCAGCATCCATTTCTCATAAAAACACTCAGCAATGTGGGAATAGAGGGATCATATCTTGACATAATAAAGACCATATATAAAAGACCTACAGCCAACATCATACTCAATGGGCAAAAACTAAAAGCATTTCCCTTAAGAACAGGAACAAGGCAAGGATGCCCACTTTTGCCACTCTTATTTAGCATAGTACTGGAAGTCTTAGCCATAGCAATCAGACAGAAAGAAAAAATAAAAGGGATCCAAATTGGAAAGGAGGAAGTGAAACTGTCATTATTCGCAGATGACATGATACTATACATAGAAAACCCCAAAGACTCCATCAAAAATTTACTAGACTTAATAATTGAATTTGGAGAAGTAGCAGGATACAAAATTAATGTCAAGAAATCGATGGCATTCTTATACACCAATGATGAACTCACAGAAAGAGAAACTAAGAAAACAATCCCATTTACCATTGCAGCAAAAAAAATTAAGATACCTAGGAATAAACTTAACCAAAGAAATAAAGGACCTATTCGCAGAAAACTACAGGTCATTGAAAAAAGAAATAGAGGAAGATATAAAAAAGTGGAAGCACATGACTTGTTCATGGATTGGAAGAATTAACATCATTAAAATGTCCCCAAAGCAATCTATAGATTCAATGCAATCCCCATCAAAATACCAATGGCATACTTCACAGAATTAGAACAAATACTTCAAAAGTTCATATGGAACCAAAAAAGACCTTGAATAGCCTCAGCAGTCTTGAAAAAGAAGAACAAAGTTGGAGGGATCACATTACCAGATTTCAGGTTATACTACAAAGCCACTGTAATCAAAACAGCCTGGTACTGGCACAAGAACAGGCATATAGACCAGTGGAACAGAACAGAGAACCCAGAAATGAACCCAGGGCAATATGCTCAATTAATATTTGACAAAGGTGGCAAGAGCATACAGTGGAGTAAGGACAGCCTCTTTAATAAATGGTGTTGGGAAAATTGTACAGCTACATGCAAAAAAATGAAAGTAGACCATCAACTTATACCCTACACAAGAATAAACTCAAAATGGATAAAAGACTTAAATGTGACTCATGAATCCATAAAAATCCTAGAAGAAACTGTAGGCAACAAAATTTCAGACATCATACGCAGCAGAATGTTCACTGATACATCACCTAAGGCAATCGAACCAAAGGAGAAAATGAACACATGGGACTACATCAAACTCAAAAGCTTCTGCACAGCAAAAGATACAATCATCAATACGGAAAGGCTACCCACTGTATGGGAGAGCATAATTGCCAATGATATATCAGATAAGGGGTTAATTTCCAATATATAGAGAGTGCTCATATAACTCAACAAAAGGAAGACAAAGAACCCAATTAAAAAATGGGCAGAGGACCTAAATAGACACCTCTCCAAATAGGACATACAAAAGGCTAAGAGACATATGAAGAAATGCTCAACATCACTAATCATCAGAGAGATGCAAATTAAAACAACAATGAGGTATCACCTCACACCTGTCAGAATGGCCGCCATCAACAAATCATCAAACAACAAGTGTTGGTGAGGGTGTGGAGAAAAGGGGACTCTAGTACACTGCTGGTGGGAATGCAGACTGGTGCAGCCACTATGGAAAACACTATGGTGTTTCCTCAAAAAATTAAAAATTGAACTTCCATTTGATCCAGTGATCCCACTTCTAGGGATATACCCTAAGAAGCCTGAAACACCAATCAGAATAAATATATGTACACCCATGTTTGTAGCAGCACTATTTACAATAGCTAAGATCTAGAAACAGCCCAAATGTCCATCAATAGAAGAATGGATAAAAAAGCGGTGGTACATATACATAATGGAGTACTATGCAGCTGTAAGGAAGAAAGATCTCTTATCCTTTGAGACTACATGGAGGGACCTGGAGAGTATTATCCTAAGAGAAACAAGCCAAACAGAGAAAGACAAGTATCATATGATCTCACTTATTTGTGGAATATAATGAACATAACAGTCTGAGGAAGGGGGTAGTCCCAGAGACGTGGAAGTGGGGTACAGACTGACAATCCCCAGAAGAGGGGGTGGTGGGGGATAAACCACAGAACTTATATGCATGTATGCATGAGGAATGGACATGGACATCAAAGCTGGGGACAGGGCAGGGAACGAGGGGGAGGGGGAAATCAGTGGGGTAAAAGGAGAAACATCTGTAACAAAAATAAATTAATTAATTAATAAAAAGAAAAAGTACTACCACAAAGGAAAAAATAAATAAAAATAAGCAAACAGCACTTTTTCAATAGCATATATTTAAATGCACTCTATCTTTGTAACATAAAGAATACTTTAGGCCCTGGCTGATTTGGCTCCGTGGTTAGAGTGTCAGCATGTGGACCAAAGGGTCATGGGTTCAATTCCGGTCAAGGGCTCATACATCAGTTGCAATTGATCTTGGCCCTGGTTGGAATTGTGCAGGAGGCAACCGATCAATGTGTCAATATGCCTCTTTCACATTGATGTTTCTCTCTCTCTCTCTCTCTCTCTCTCTCTCTCTCTCTTTCTCTCCCTCTCTCCCTATCTCCCACTCTATCTGAAAATCGCTGGAAAAATATCCTCGGGGTGAAGATTGGTCTGTGGGCCGACGCTCTACCGTTGAGCCAAACCAGCCAGGACCTCGGGGTGAGGATTAAAAAAAAAGGAAGAGTGGAAAGGGCCAATGCATAGAGGTATGGCTAACTATTCCTTAATAATCAAACAGAATCAAGTTGAATAAAATGTTCTAGCAAAATGTGGCTTGTAGAGAACGGACTAGGCCTGCTGTCACGAAGTCATAGCTACAAAGGTATGCACATGCTTACATCAGTGGAGAACGCCCTCTTCAGAGAGATCAAGTCATTCATTATAAGGCTTCTTCTTAAAGGACAGAATGAAGGGCAATGGGGAGCCCATAAACAAGGTGCAGACCACCGCGATTGGTGAGCATGCGCTTGAATCCTGCTGATACTCAGTGTAAAAGGAGACACCAGAAGATGGGGTGAAGTGGGAGGAGAGATACATACACGAGAGACAAAGGACAGAGTTGTGAAGACCAAAGGGAACTTTACAAGACAAACAAATAAGAGTAAATACATATGAGAGAAAGAAAGGACCATACAACAAAATATCTGCATGGTTTTATTCAAAGGGCATGGGCAGAAATAGCTTCAAAATAAGGACTATGTAAACAGCCTAGAGAGAAATGCAAGAGAGCAATTAGGATTCCTTCCTCAGAACCCCGAAATCCACCACCTAAGTAGAAGCCACAGATCAAATATGGGTTTAACTTGGGCTCAAAAGTCTCCAAAAATCAAAAGTGGGGTTTAAAGGAGATCACATAATCTGGAACTGGAGAATAAAGACAGTATGGAATAGCCATAGGTCCCCAATTCCAGGCCTGGCTACGGGGAGAGTGTTTGGACGCAAAGCACATAGTCTAGGGGTGTCCGCTCGGTACTTTTCACCCGAACCACGCAGTTTAGCACTGTCCAAGAGGAATGGAATGCAATCCACAATGTGATTATACATGTTATTTAAAATTTCCTAGTAGCCACATTTTTTTAAAAAGTAGAAAGAAAACAGTGCTGACTGGGTCGCTCAGTTGATTGGAGCACCGTCCTGTACATCAAAAGGTTGTGGGTTTGATTCTCTGCCAGGGCAAGTACCTAGGCTGCGTGTTCGGTCCCCCAACAGAACGTGTACCGGAGGTAACTGATGAAATGTTTCTCTCTCATATTGATGTCTCTCTTGCTCTCTCTAAAATACCAATCCTTGGATGAGGATTTTAAAAAAAGCAAAAAGAAACAGATAAAATTAATTTTAATATATCTTAACACAATATATTTTAAAATGTTATCATTTTAATATGGAATCAATATGACAATATTCTTGAGATATTTTATATTATTATTTTTTTCCCATGTGAAGCTTTCAAAACTCCTTGCTACCTTTTCCACTCTGGCACATCCTAGTTTGGACTGGCCACATCTCGAGTGTGTGAGGGCCGCCCGTGGCTAGTGGCTGCTACATTGGACAGTGCAGATACGGGGTGTTCAGATGTGTTGAGGTCTGTATATCACTCACGTTATAAAGAAAGCTCCCCTGTGCACGATACGGACGGAACCTTCGGTTCTTAGCTTTAATAAAGTTTAGTCACACGTTGAACTTCCTGTAAGTGCTGACTCGTAGTGGGCCAGGTAGGAAAAGGATAACAATGATGTAAAGAAGGGCTGGAGTCTTGGAATAAACATGGTGGCTACAGAAATAAACCCTCTCTTCAACTCTGGGCACAGCAGCGAAAAGATAGCTGAAATCCTACCTGCCAGATGAGACAGAGAATTGCACTACATTCTTCCCAAGAGATGGTGCTGACCATTCCACAGTGGATATTAACGCAGTATGAGTTAGTTCATTAGCAAAACAGAAATGAAAGAGAAAGAGAAAACTTACTTAAATTTGTAGCTTTCTCGCTTATTATTCACAAATCCATCTGCCAGATCACGAGGTAAGATGATTTCCAAGCTAGGTGTTAATTTTTCATCTTCATCTATGGAATAAATCTGCAAATATGAAGACAGCAAATGAATATAAAACAGTAAATTTCAGGCTTTAACTGTGACTATGTTATTATGATGTACATTGTAACTTTATTAAAAATTATATGTTTAAGATATAAAGTCAAAACATAGTATACTTTGGGTAATTTCCTCCTTGAACTGTGTGCAGACTCAAACAAATATATGCACCTGGACTGGAGGTAAAATCTAAATCAATGCTCTACCAAAGCTTAGATAGAGCCTCTTTGACTAATCTAATATTCAAATTTGAACATCTGTGTGTCTCTGTTGTTGAGAAACTAATAACCTGGAAAGCAACATATTCACTAAATATTGCTTTGGAATTGTGGACCAGAAATTAACACTTTACTACAAGCAGCAAGCATTTCTGAGCACTTACAAAATGTTAGACAAGAAGATAAAAGGAGCAGAATCTGAGACTTCTCAGAGAACTCAAAAGAATGCTCGAATTCAAGTCATGTTCAAAGAAGCCCAAGCTTTCATGAGACGTATTCGGGCATTTGATAAAAGACATGTGGTTTCAAAAGACACATATATTTCATGTCTTTGATGTCATTTTCAAGGTTCTACTCCCAGCTCAGCCACTAATTAGCAAAAGACCTAGGGGGAAAAACTCACTTAATCTCTCTAGGCTGATACAGAAATGAAGGGTCTTAACCAACTCCCTTAAAACTGTAATATTCTCTGATTGTCTTCTTGGTTACCTACTCCTTTATTTATTGGCCATAAAAATCAAAAGCCAAGCCTATAAAGAGGTCATGTGGAATAAAAAAATAAAAAAAAAAAAAGCATAAGGTTTTGTGTCCAAGGACCTGGGTCCAACGCTGATCTCAATTTACCAGATGTGCGACCAGCCACTCCATTCAGAACCTCGGTGCCTTATACAGAAAATGGGGAAAACAGAGTTGCCTCCTTTATAAGATTGCTGCGGGGATCAGATGATGTCATGGAAATGGAAGCATTTTGTAATGCACCATAAAAAATGTTAGTCATTAGATTTAGAGGTTTTTAAGAAAGACTTCTTGTCTTTCACCAGGAAATAAAATTCTTTCTGACAGGCAGTACTTCCTGTTTAAGACCCATTAGATGCTTATGGGGGAAAAGTCATATTCCTAAACAAGCAAAGGCCTACCTAAAGCTCCGGAAAATCGGAATAATTTTCCTAAGCAGATTTTTATTGGACACTCTCATTTAAAATGTGAAGAAGCTGTGTAAAATGAAATTACTTGTAGAAAGTAATGGCATCAGGGCCAAGGCTTTCTGGCTAGGTTTTTTCAAGAGGCATTTAAAAATTGTATCTATAGGGCACTACATTTAAAAATAATAATAATAATAAGCACCACATGATCTCACTTATTTATGGAATATCATGAACAAAATAAGCTGTTGATCAAATTGGATCCAGAGACATGGAAGTAGGGAACAGACTGACAAACCTCAGAGGGAAGGGGAGTGGGGGGGTTGGTAAGAGATAAACCAAAGAACTTACATGTATATATGCACAACCAATGGGCACAGACAATAGTTTGGGGAAAGCAGGAGGGGGGTGGAAGTGGGGAGGAGGGGGTCAGTGAGGGAAAAAAGGGTGTGGGGACATATCTGTAATACTTCAACAATAAAGATTTTAAAAAAAAAAGATTGATGGCCAGACAGGTAGTAAAGGGGATTGTAAGACATAAAACATAACGGAGTGAGGGTTGCCACACATTAAAAACAACAACAACAACAACAAAAACCCTGTTAACACTCAGTGCTCAGCAGACCGAAAGGACCATCTACTAGAGTAGGAATACTATCCACCACCATCAGTAGGCCATTCTTTAAGGCGTTACGAAAAGCCCCTTAAAACCAGAAAACTTATTTAGTCTAATAGATTGGCTTTCTACCCTTAGTCACAAAAGCATTTAAGATAGAGTAGTATTTTAAGAATAGAAGACAATTATTACTAATGAAAAGATGAATATGAAAATATTTCAAAATATACAAAGCACTGCACAAATGTAACGTACTGCCATTATCAGAGGTTCATCTTAAGTATTTTCTGATTTATTAATCTATAAATCACTATAATTGAATTTATAGTGCCTCAAGAAATAAGACTAATGAAGTAGTGGAGCCATAAAATGAACAGGGAAAAAGAAGAACACTTTAAATCACTCTTGGTTTAACACTACAAGCAGTATTTCTAGTTTGAGAAGCAACCATACAATCTTTGGGGGCAAAAAGATAGGATGCTAAAAATGGAATTTCTAAGGCAGAGCAGAGATACAGTAACTCAAAATGTGTTCATCTGTGCTCTCTTATTTTTGTGTATGTGGCATAATGTTGCATCTCAGTAACAAATCTGACATTGTTAAAATACAGTATGATATGATACCTAAAAATACTTCCTGCAGTACCAATCTACTCCACAGAATCTCTCCCAAGAAATGCAAAAGAAGGCACATTAAAATGTCTCATCATTGCATTGTAAAAAAGAAAGTTCACTATTAAATCCAAGATTTTCCACCAACACATCCCGCAGTCCTGCCTCTGTCCTCTGGCATTACCATATCCAAGCACCTGCTTCTGACTGTTGAGTCTATGTACATAAACTCAACATTTTTACTAAGAATCTGACGGAGGCAGAGGGCAGACGTTACATATACTTTGTACATATGATGCACTTTTAAAAACTTTCTTGTAAGTGAATGTAAGAGGAGAGAGATTGGGAAGATACCCATGGCTCCTTTCTACAATGCTTTATTCCTAAAAAAGAAGCGGGGGAAAAAGCCAATATTTTCTTGGAGTCTTCTCATGCATCTTCTGAATGCATTTGATGAGTAAAAGAGTGATGACAAAGACAGTATATTCTCTTTACTTTAAACACATAAATTACAGGTTTGCAAATGCTAAGCTATGAGATGCTATCATGTTACATTTATACATGTGCACAGTGTAAAAGTGTAGATGTGGGCTAGAGATAAAATAGTAATAATATACCCTTTCCAGGCACAGATCAATATAACTCCAATTGCTCTTGCCTAAATCCTCACTTTGTGAGACAAACAGATTTGGTCTGAAGAGTCAAAGAGCTTTGGAATTAAAAAATCCTACATTAAAATCAGGGTTCTGCCACTCAGGAGGTGGGCAGCTTAGCCACATTATTCAACTGATCTGAGACTCAGTTTCCCCATCTATAAAATGAGGAAGATGACGTTAATCTTGCAAGGTTCTCATCAGAACCAGAGCTAATGCAGACAAAGCACGAAAGTGGTAAGAATGACCACGCCCCTTTCCAAGAGGAGAAAACAATGTTTTGAAACATTTCAAAAGTATCTCATTCAAAGTAACTGCCCAGAGCAAAGGCAGTTTCTTAACCTTCTTTGTACCCTTCTGAGCTTAGCACACTAGAGGAAGCACCTAGTAACTTAATGTTTTCTGAACAAAAAGTACATGTGTCGTGTGTCAGGATGCATACACATCTACGTATACATGCAACGAGTATATGCCAACACTCACGTTTCTGTTGCAGAATGAAAATAGGGTCAACAAATTCTAAGAGCCCACTGTGTGATGACCCATAGTGTATACTCTGTGCATCAGCATTTGAATCTATTATCTATATCTTCTTAGACACGTATGGACACGCATCTCTTGTTTACACGCTTTGCCTGAGTTTGCGAAAGGTTAAGTTTTGAGTGTATGTGTGTCGGCAGAGATGCATGACACACATACACTCAAGGGTGCGTAGCTGGGGCGCATCCGCCCCTGCGTGACCAGGTGTGCCAGGTGCATGTATGTGCTCTGAGCAGGGCATGTCAGCCCCACAGGCTGTGCAGGGTGGGAGTGCCCGGGTGTCTGTCTGCCCGAGTCCTGACAGCAGTGCGCTGCTGTCTGCGTGGCTGCCAGGGCTCCTCCAACGGAGTGTGCGGGAGCCGGGCGGCAGGTGCCCGACGCCCAACCCCTCCCCCAGGCCCGGGCCCGTCTCGTGCCGCCCTCCCCCAGCCTGGGAGGACCCGCGGCTCCCGCGCTCTCCCTGCTCCGACCCGTACCCCTTGTGGCTGCTTCCGGACAGTGGGCTTCACCCTGGCGAATATCTGGATCGTCTGCTTCACCATCTCCTCCCCGGCTCTGGCTCCCCAAACTTGAGTCCCACCACCTCGGGCTAGCCGCAGCCTTAGCAACAGTAACTAGGGACGCTACCCACAGAGCAATGCGCCAACCAGGACCGCCTCCTCTCGCTAATTGGTTGCTGATGGAGTGGGGCGGCCCGGGGGAAGGACTGAGGGGTGGGCCGAGCGGAGAGCGCTGCGCATGTGCACTGCGGAGGCCTGCGCTGTGGGCTGAGCTCCAGAGCCGGCCTGGGGAGTGGTTAATGGGGTGGCAGTCACCACGCCTTTCCCTGTTCTTTAATCCTTTCTTCCCCAGTGCCAGAGCTTCTTTTTAGCACTAAAGTCATTCTGTTTTTTATTATTCATTCATTGAATAAATAGCACTTGTTCTGTGACCGCCAGGTGCTGGTTGGGGATCCTGAGCTGAGCAAAACTGCCTCTTCTCTCTCAGAGATTGGGGTCTGATGAGCGATACAGATTTTCAATAGGAAATTAGAAGTTCTGTGGGGACAAGCAAGGGGTTCTAGGAAGGGCAACTCATCTAGCTCTGCTTTGGAAGAGGCCAGGACTGGAGAAAGAGGGACTGCTTCCCGTGCAATGGTCCTACCGAGACAGCGTGGGCTCCCTTGTGCTCCGCTGGGGGCAAAGCAAGCTGGTGCAGCCACTGCGGAAACCGGTATGGAAGCTCCTCAAAACATTAGAAACAGGGCTGCCATGTGATCCAGCAAACCCACTCCTGGGTATACATCTGAAAGAATTCAAATCAGGATGCCTAAGCGATCCCTGCACTCCCATATTTATTGCAGCATTAACCAAGATACAGATCAATGTGGTGTTGCTGATGGACGAATGGGAAAAGGAAATGTGATCTATATAATGGAATATTTGTATATATTATGTATTGTTTTATATCTATAATAGAGATGATAGATAGATAGATAGATAGATGATAGATAGATAGATAGATAGATAGATAGATAGATAGATGGATGTAATGGAGTTAATCCTGTATAGCTAGAACAGATGACATTGAGTGTTAACTACTGGTAACATGGTCCCAGTACTGCATGTGAATTATAAGTGCAACTGATTTTCATATCCTTGCAAGACAGAAATTGCCTTTCTCTTTGTATAAAAACAATCATGCTCATGCTAAAATGACATCCAATGGGTGTCAGAAAATCTAACTGTATTTAAATTAAAATAGAATAGTATTCTGCCATAGAAAAGGAAATCCTGCCATTTGCAATAACATGGATGGAACCGGAAGGCATTATGCTAAGTGAAATAAGTTATACAAATAAAGACAAACGCTGTATAATTTCACTTATATGTGAACTCTGGAAAAGTGGAACTCGTAGAAACAAAGTCGAATGGTGGTTGTAGGGAATGAGTGGAGGGAATGGGGAGATACTGCTCAAGAGGCACAAACTTTCAGATATAAGAGGGATAAATTCTAGGCATCTATGTACAGCATGGTGATGATAGTTAACGGTGTTGTATTACATACTTGAAAGTTGCTAAGCGACTAAATATTAAAGGTTCCCATCACACACTGAAAGAGTTCATTATGTGAGGTTATGCAGGTGTTAACTAACCTAATTGTGATCATTTGTTCACACTATGTACAGATGTATCAAATTATCACATTGTTCATCTTAAACTTATATGTCAATTATATCTTGATAAAGCTGAAAAAAAAATAAAAGGATGAACACCTCAAAAGACACTGTTAACACATGAAAAGATGTTCAACATCATTATCCACCAGAGAAATACACATTAAAACCACAATAAGATATCACTACACACCTATCAAGATGGCGAAAATAAAAAATAGTGACAAAACCAGATGCTATCAAAAATACAGAGCAACTGAACCATCCACACATTATGGTGGGAATGTGTGATGTAAAATGTATCATGACTCAGGGTACAGCCACTCTCGAAAAAAGTTTTGCATTTTACAAAACTGAAGGTGTAGCTACAATAAGATCCAGCAGTTACATTCATGGGTGTTTATCTCACAGAAACGAACACTCGTGTTCACACAAAACCTGTGTGTGAGAGTTCGTAGCAGCTTTATTTATAAAAGCTCCAAACTAGAAAGATCCCAGATTGAACTATTCTTTGGTTCAGAATAGTTAACCAAACTGTGGAATACTATTCAGCAATTAAAATGAAGGGGCTGCTGATACAAATAACAACTTGGGTGAATTTCCAGAGACTTATGCTGAGTGAAAGAAGCCAAACTCAAATTCAGTGCTGTATGATTCCATTTTTATAACATTCTTGAAATGACAAAATTATAGAGATGGAGAGCAGATTAGTGGTTGCCAGGGGTTAGGGAGGCAGGGAGGAGGGGAGGTGGCGACGGCTATAAACGGATCCTTGTGACGGACTGCTTTGTGTCTTGACTGTGGTGGTGGTCACAGAAATCTGCTCATGTGATAGAATTGCATAGGACAAAGTACACATGCACGCACACATGCATACATGCACACACACATGAGTGCATATAAAACAGTGAACACTGAATAAGACTGAAAGAGATGGATGAATTGCATCAATGTCCTCTCCCTGATTGTGACCTTGACTATAGTTACGCAAGATCACCCTGTATTATTTCTCACAACTTCATCTGAATCTACAATTATCGCAAAACGAAAAGTTTTTAAAAAGAAACTTAGAGAATGAAAAGACCAGTTAAAAACTGGGAGAACATTTTTGCCAAACACCTATCAGATAAAGGACTTACATCCAGAACACTTAAAAATTATGAAAACTGGATAATAAATAGGAAAGCAAACTACCCAATTAATTTTTTTTTTAAAAAGGTGGGCAAGGATTTAAACAGACATTTCCCATAACAAGGATGGCAAATAAGCACATGAAAAGATGTTTAACGTAATGAACCATTAATGAAATGCAAATTAAAACCACAATAAAGATACTGCAACACCCCTCTGAGAATAGGTACAAATAAGAAAATAAAACTGGCAATATTAACAGCTCGCATGGGTGCAGTGTCGGGAATGCTCAGACATGGCTGGAGAGAATGCAAGATGGACCAGTCACTTTGAAAACAGTCTCATAACTCTTACATAGAGTCACAGATAGACTTACCTTGAGACCCAGCTTCCCCATTCTAAGGTGTTTACCCGAGTGAAATGAAATGTAAACACACAGATGACTATTGTGGTTTTATTCACAGTTGCCCCATACTGGAAACAACATAAATGTTCACCAACTGGTGAATGGATAAGCAAACTGGTTACATGGACATGATTAAAAGGAATGAGCTGTTAATGCCTGCAACAAGATTGCCAAGTCTCAGATTTATTATGCTAAGTGAGAGATGCTGGATTCAAAGTTCCACACATTATAATTCCATTCATATGACATTCTAGGAAAGGCAACACTATAGGATAGAAAGCAGATCAGTGGTTGCCGGGGGTTGGGGGTAGGGAGGGTGATTGAGTACAAATGGGCATGGGAGAGATTTTTTGCGGGGGGGGGGCAATAGGACTGTTTCATACTTTGATTATAATTATGGTTACATGACTATATACATTTGTCAAAACTCATAGAACTATCTATACACTTAAAAGAGTGAAACACACTGCATGCACATTATACTGTTATAAAAATGTTTTAAAAAATTTGAGAATAGGGTATGAACAGGTATGGTACAGGAGGGATCGAGAAAAGGAGAGAAGCAGGTGTTTATGGAAGAGACTTCACGGGCTTTTCCCTTGGTGCTGGGTGGTAAGGAACAGAAGACTCAAGGTTGCACACTTGGGTTGTTTCTATGTCTTGGCCATTGCGACTAATGCTACCATGAACGTGGGAGCACGGGTGTCTCTTCAAGACACTGATCTTGTTTCCTTCAGAAATGAGGCAGCCTAAGTGTTTGTGTACACACAATGGAATATATTCAGCCATTAAAAAGGAAATCCTGCAGTTTAAGACAGTATTGATGAAACTGGAGGGCATTATGCTAAGAATATAAACCAGACAAAGACAAATATTGTATGGTATCACTTATATGTAGAATCTAAACATATATGTATCTATCTATCTCAGAGAGTAAAATGGTATCTGCCAGGACTAGCGGGTGGGGATATGGGGGATGTGGGTCAAAGGGTACAGACATTAAGTTATACAGTGAATAGTTCTGAGGACCTAATGTACAGCACGGTGACTATAGTCAATTAAACTGCATTGTACACTTGAAAATTTCTGAGAGTAGATCTTAAGTGTTTTCTCACAAATAAAAGAAATAAAAATGGTAATGGTGATGGATGTATTAATTAACTTTATTGTAGTAGATATTTCACAATGTATTTGTATATTAAAGCACCACATTGTACACTTTAAATATACACAATTTATGTTTCAATTCTACTTTAAGGAAGCTGGGAAAATAAAGATTGGGGGATTGGGTGTACGGTGCAGGGCTTCACCTGGACAGGTCAAAGAGGGGGCAAGGGGGAGGTAAAAAGTGGGGCATGTTTATTTTAAGTACCTGTGGGACTTCAATGGGTCATGGGCTACGGTGCGGGAGAAAGCTTTGGCTGAGTGTGCAGATTTGGTAGCCATCACAGTTTTTCCAAACAGTGATCCGGGCACACGGGAGGACTGAGGCTGCAATCCAAGCACTGTGGGCAGGAGATAGAAGGGGGGCTGCAGGGAGCCCCGAAGCAGCACCTGGAGTGGTCTGAAGGGGAAAGGGGTTGTTCTATCACAGCAGCTGAGGGAAGAGAAGATTCTGAGAACTTTTCAACAGCGTGGATACTAAAGAGGGTGCGCTGGAAGGTGTCCATCAATTTCACAACTAGGAAGTCATCAGCAACTATTTAGCGGCTTCAAAGTGGGTAAAGCCAATCAAAGGGGAGGGCGGAGGTGCAGGAAAGAGAGACGATAACTATACTTGCCCCAGACGGTGCAATGGAAAAGGCGAGGGAACCGAGCGTATTCGCAGAAGATGGCTTCAAGTGTTGAAT